CATCTGACTATCGTCCTTGCGGCGGCTCCCATGCGACTGTGGACTGCGTGACTCGGCGGAGGTACTCGTCTATAATCACTGTGACAGCCTCGTTCGATTTTCCCGCGTTGTCCCCAGCACATGAGGTGACACACCCACGACCAGCCGCCCAGGCTGGAGCGCCCACAGACCCAACCAAGCCCCAAGCCAACGTCGACCCGGAGGACTCCTAGTCCGAGCTGTCAGAAGGTGGGCCGCCCCCGTCTCCGCTGCCGGACTCGGTGGGTGCGACGTCCCTTGAGACGCGCCCCGTCGCACCGGCTCCTGTTCTGTCTGCTGCGCATCCTTACAACCGGCGGAGTGAGGTAACGGACGAGCCCGAGGTCTCTATTAGCCCCGAGAAGTTCGCGTGGCGCCCCCTTACCGCAAAGCGGGGTGACGTCACGACGAGGAGAGAATTTTTCCCCGACTCGTCCCGCTCGCCCTGTGGAGGCTGTGACGACGCTAGCTGTCGGCGCGCTCCTTTCTATTTAATTTTTTTGGCGTGTTTTTCGTAGGAAGTGCAAATTTTTATATGTGCCTCTATTGAGGTACGGCCTGTAGCTACAGGCGATCGAACTTCAACCAACATTTTAAGCATGCTTGACAGGGCAGGCAACGCATGAATCGGAGCTGGTATATGAAAATAAAGAAATACGGCCACAATTGCAGGAGCATCACTATAGGTTTACATCTCGCACAATAAATGCTGCAGATGGTCTGAATGAACTGGCAAGTTATGTATACTATTTTTTTTATCTTTGTTTTTAAACAAGATCGCCGAAGCAGAAAAGCTGCATGCTGCTCGTACAACATGCTAAATACAGTCTGGGCCATGGGGAGAGAATCACAAGTAAGACAGCCCAAGTGCAGGGGCAAAGTAAAAAAAAAAAACAAGGAACATTTATTATATACATTGCTTGCATTTGACCTTTGCTGGATTCGGATAGTATCTCAATGGACTAGACGGGTGGTATCTGTGGGTTTGTTTATATCCACCATGAAGTAATGTATAAGAAACGTAAGCGAAGGTGTTTAGCTCGTTATTAGTCCCTTAAGCCCTAAAATTGAGATTGTATTTAAATCGAATTGTCCTGAAGCTAAAATACCAGAAGCTTTTTTCACGTAGACTGTCGCCCTTCACGGGGTCCACATGTTCTGCTACTAGTGCTGCATCTACCACTGGACAGACGTTCGAATGCTTGCTTTTAATCCTGGTTCCTCTGTTGTCAGAGAGTCCAGCTGTAGGGAGTTTGGAGGCTGAGGAAGCTTTTGGAGACCTGCAGTGGTGTCTCTTTTAATTGGAAATGACAATTTAGACTAAACGGTGTATTTTCCGAATACACAAGGCCGGGATAAAAATGTCAGGAAAAAGTATAAACATTCCAAATTACGGCACTATTGCTGTGCATATTTTGGGCAGTTCAATACATATCATACAGGCAACTGGGGGAATTCGGCCGTCTCTGCTTCTACCATGCATACAAATTAATTTCCAGTAATTGTGTATCTTCTAAGAAATATGCCTGGATACGTGTATAAACTATATTTAATCCACGAAGAAGCTACATTTATGTAAAACAACCCTGTTCCACGAGCACTTCAAAGATAATCAGACACAGGGCCTTTAAAATATCTTCGAAGCAGCGCATGCAGAGTGGCAGCGCAAAGTCGGGGTCGCGAGCTAATTGGCCGACCACCCAAAGGCCCATGATATAAATGCCACTTCAAATGCCTTGAAAGCGGGATGTAATATCGTCCTAAATCATGAACATGCAAGGAACAGAATTCCAGCGTCTGAAACACTTGCGCCACCGCTTCACCGATCCATCGCAAAAAATTGCCTTGTGTCGTGTGGACGGCCGGGGGGTTCATCAGCGGAATTGCCTCCGCCGATAGCTTTCGGGATTTGTAACCCAATCTTGAAGGTAAAAGGGACGAGCAGGCATATAAAATGTACGGAAGCACGTCAATATCGGCCTAAATCAACGTCCTGTACACCTGGTAAACGAAGTCCAGCTCCTCGAAGAGCTTGCGGCACACCACACCAAACCAGGAAACCGGTGCTGGGAAGCGAGCCGATGCGAGATCGCGGAGCGGAGTCATCGCCCTGACCTCATGGTACACCTCACCCAATCAGGGCGCGGCGACCGCAGCGACGCTTGTGTTCGCTCTCGGGGCTATATAGCCCCGAGAAGTTTAGGTGGCGCCCTCTTACGGCCAGGCGGGGAACTAGCTAACTGACGTCACCAAAGGAACGGTTGTTGAGTCTGCCGCGTCTACCATGTTGTTGTTTGGTGTGCACTGTGCACTTGGTCTCTTTTCTTCATGCGTTGCTAAAACGAAGTTCGAGTTTTTGTTTCTTGTTTTATGCGTTGAACAATCTTCGCTACCTGTATGAACGGAAATTGAGTCGAGGAGTTTCGGTTTCACTCATGGACGACGACGGACGCAGCAGTGATCGGGTGTCGGGTAAGCAAGCTCGCTCTTCGTTCTCCGCTTCGCGCGGTACGCCGTCTGAAAATGCTTGGTGTGGTGTAGTTTTGTAGCGGCTGTAAGCCAGGCGAGTAACCGGCGCTTTTTTTATTGTTCTTTTGCAGTCGCGCTGCCGGTGAGCAGTATTAATCGATACATTGACAAGGCGTGCGAGACCAGTCGCTGCCTCAACGAGGCCGAAGATGTGTACTACGCAGGCCACGTTGTCGAGTGCGCGGTATCAACGATCTTCGGGAGCCGTGCTACATTCCTGGCGTTCGTCCTGCAGACCACTGCAATCGCTGGTGCCCCGCACGAAGTGAAAATCACCATCTGCAGGTCGGAGGTGGACCAAGCCAGCTGTTCGTGCAAGGCAGGGTATGCTCCGTTTAGGGCCGTGCCGAGTTGTCAGCTACGAGCACAACTTTTTGCTTGGTTATGAAATCATCGCAGGGAAGTCGTTTGGGTGCGGTTCGCACACATCGAGCAACGGACTGAGTATGCTCGTCGCTTCGCCTGGTCGCGCCACCCGAACCATCGCTCACATGCGGTTTATAGTGCCAGCTGTCTCGGGCGAAAAAGTTCAAGCCGCCGATACGTGCGGTCCATTTGATGCGTCGTGTAAACAGGCGTTTCTTCGCTCGTGCACCCGAACAGTTTCAGCGTTTCTAGGTTGCGCTGATTGCGTCGATAAATCAGACGCTCAAAATGTTTCGTTCGTGCGACAGAAGAATTTCGGCAAGATTAGACCACGCTAATTGCCACAATAGATCTGCCTAACCACTTCCGTAGTTGTGGCAGCTTGTGATACAGTGGAAAATTTGGTTGTCACATCTTTTAAAGTCCACTTTTTTAGACGTGCCTTCTGTTATTGTCTTACAGCAACTTCAAATGCAAGCACATCGTAGCAGTCTTGCTGCACATCAATGCAGCAAGAGAGTTCGAACAACTCTCATCAACTGACCAGCCCCAGAAATGGGGAAAAGCCCAGAAGGAGCGAGTCATGGAGAAGTATGAGCCACGGAAGATGGTTGACCTGCCCTGTGCAAAACAAGGTATGATAATAAGTTTGGCACTTTTTCACTTTCAAAAGAGCAAGCGTGTCATGACCCGGCAGTTGGCGTGGGTCGCTACAGGAAGTTTAGACGTCGGTTATCCCACGGGGCATAGGCCCAAGGGACGCGGGGGACAAAGACAAACACTGAGGTGAACTGGATAATAAACACATTCATTTCCAAAATATTAATTAGAACAAAGCACACAAGAACGCTACGCAGGAATTTAATCGGAGGGCAGATAATACGGCATCACTAACGGGTACAGAGGCTTCACTAGTAAAGGGCAAGGTACAAACTTGCAATAAAATGATGGAGACAGTACTGCACGATGGACCAGTCCAGCATGACGCGGCTTGCGAGGAGGAGCCGAAGTTCCTCAGACTTTCCTCGTTGTGGTGTGGTGCTGCACCACGTACGGCAAGTGAAGTTGCGGGGACGTCACACTGGGGCAATCAAGCAGGGGAAGAACTCGCAGGGCTGGCACTGGAAGGTTAGCCACTCGGTGTCGAAACTGAGTCCTCACTGCTGCGGTGTGACATCCGGAGCCGAAAAGTCTAGCGGCTAGTTGCCGCAAGTTCTCCTAGGCGACTCATTGGACGCCACGTCGCTCTGTAGCAGTACAACAGAGGAAGAACTCGCAGGGCTGGCACACAGAGATCAGCCACTCGGTGCCGAAATTGAGTCCCCTTCAGTGCCGTAACGCCCGCGGGGCAGCATCTGGAGTCCAAGGGTCTGATGACTGCTGGCTACCAGTTCTCCACATCGACTGGCGCGCCGTTGAACACAAAGTGGTGTGCACAGCTCGTTGAAACCCAACATCACCAAAATAAAGCCTGCGCGTTCCCTCCATTTCAACGAAACAACCATCACACCATCCCACAAGCATCACAAAAACACACCTAACAGCTTCAAATTATTCCTGAATTCGGAGGATTAGGTCTTGGTAACCCGATGTCAGACAGCCGGAGCTTCTAGCAGAAAACCTTGCACTTCAAAGGCCAAGGGGCCAAAGAAGTGTCACAAATGTGCCCTCGCCGAGGGTGAGGCATAGGCCCCCGCAATAACGACCCCGCCGACTACCGCCTTAGAAATCATTCGGAGAATTGCCGTGTCACACTAACCGTTGCCTGGCTCTCTCTTTGAAGTTCAGGTAGGTTTTTTGCGGCGATGTTTCTTGATGAACGAGTGGTTTGGGTACACCAACAGTGACACCGATTGTTTCACAGCATCTTCGTGACAAAATTGCAATTTTATTTCTTACAGATATTGGCCCACTGCTCTAGCTAATCATTTTTCCGGTTGTTTCAGGTTTCATGCACTAAAAGCGCCCTCTTAACTTTTTTTTGATCAAGCAAATATAGCTTCGAGAGAACACGTCCAAGCGAAGCATTTGCCTGCTGTGGAGAAATCAATCAATATTGTAACCTCTATTCGGAATGCGCATCCTGATCTTTGACATCGCTTTGTACTGTTTTTAAGGTAACTCTGAAGGAGACTCCGCAGTTGCAAGGGAACATCCTCGAGAGACTCCTGAAGAATGTTCCTCATCGATCTGCAGCGAAAATGCACTCGGAAACGGCAGTGGAAACAGGTATGCAGATGCACATGACTGATTTCCAGTACAGTAGTACACCGTATAATAATGGTTTGCAATACAACTATTTCAGTTGCACTACGAAAAATTTCAGGCAGTCAAAATGAATCGTCAGTCCTTTGAATGTGTCATTCTGGATGCCCTTCGTTGGTTTAGCATGTAATTCCCCAAGTTTACCTTTTAACCATGCTTAACTGGAGGCATGGCAGTTTAATGTGTCAATACAGCACAGCTTGCCGGTACTCCAAATTCTTGTGTTATGAGTCTAATGCTGATTCCTTTCAGTTTTCGTGCATATGGCTCTTATTTCGGTGTGCACTCATGTCAACCGCTTCTCTGGGAGGTGCAGTAGTTGCTGGTCTTAAATGCTTCTGTCGCAGCAAAGCCACTAGGAACCATACTTGAATGGCAGGTTACTTTTTTGCTGTCTAAAGGTCCACATAGCTGAATTTGACATGCTTAATTTGAATATGGTTCTGATGCTCAAACACATCGTGCTCATCAGAGCAGGCTTTGAGCAGCAAAAGGCAGTAGTTACTGGGAGTAGCTTAACAGTATTAGGAATGGAATTGAATCAAAAGCCGCGTTTACATGAATGCGACTTAGTCGCATCGAATCTAGGTGTCGCATTCAATGCGGTCATGTAAATGGCATAATGCACAAAGAAAGCGCATCGCATTCAAGCCGCCAGAGAGAGGTGGGTCGAGATGGCGAGTGCACATTCATTCAGCCCATGTAAACGGAGGTCGCATCGCATTTTGGAACGGGGAGGATTATGGGAAGGCGCTCGCTGCGGGAGCGAGTGAACAGCTGAGAACATGGCGGCGGCCAACCCCGTCGGCGGCGCGGAGAGCGGTCCCGTATAGTCGCCCGCAATTTTTTCCCCGAGAACAAACGCAAGCTTTTATTGCCATTATAAATAAGCGGATTTGCTCGGTGAGGGCGGCCCCCGTCCAAGCCTTGCGAAGTACGACTTGCGCGTCCGAAGGGGTCCCAAAGGCTTCGGCGCAAGCACGAACGACACCGAGAGCTCCGAGCACTGTGGAGCACTCATGGTAGCGCAGAACGAGCAGCTCCTACCTCGGTGCCGTTCCTGGCTGCGCAGGAGCCTTTCGGACTCGGGGTCCGGTCGCGATCGGCGAGGTCTGGCGCGGTGAAGCGCGGAGGCTTCCTCAAAGCGTGCGCACACACGTCGCCTCTGGTCCAGAGTGACCCGGCGGCCCGGCCTGGAGCCATAAACGCTTGGGTTTTGATGTTTCTTCCGCTCGTAACTTCTTCCACAGCACCGAAGTCAGAGGGCACAATCTTTAGTTCACTGAATGCGTCAAAAGACCTCCGAGGCATCCACGAGCGATGCACCGGAAAACGTGTAGCGGCTGGTTCCGGAAGTGCATAACTTCGAGCTTCGACACGGCCTGGCGCCACCTTCGTGTAGGGCTTGGTGCGCATTCATGTAAACGTTGCCGCGTCGGCTTCGTTTGACGAACGAGTGGAGTCAATACGTTGAACGCGCTTTCATGTAAACGAGGCTAAAGTAACAATGCTGGCAGGTTGGTTTATAACTTTGAAAAAAAACTTATACGGCACACAAAGATGCAGACAGGACGAGTACTTGTCCTATTAGCAACGTGGTTAGCTTAGGGTGCCTTCATGTGCGCTTCGCATAGAGTGATGCCAACTGCCTGTTTCCCTTTCCGACACCCTCTTCCACCTACATTTTCTTCCTCTCATTGTTTCTCCGTGCGCCGGAAAGTGGCCTTTGTGTCTATCAATCCTTCCATCCGAGGGCGGAAATGCTAATCCTCCCTCCGTGGGTTCCACAACGCTGCTCCGAACTTGTGAGATAAGGTGCTTGTTTCCGGGAGGGTTATAAGCCCCACGGATTATCGCCGAGGAACAAAATGGCTGCTGGTTTGTCGGCGAGTGGTATTACAAAGGGTGGCATCACCCTAGCAAAGCGCACATGAAGGCTCCCTAGGTTAGCTGCCACCGGGTAGCTACTGCTCCTTATGCACCCTCACTGGGGATTCCAAGATAGGTCTTTGGCTCAGTAGTGGCGACGACACTGAAAGTGGAGCAGGCCACGGCAGGCCTCTCGCTTGGCAAGTATGTTGTCCCTCCTTTGCTTTCAGCTGCACCGGTTATGTGAATCTCCTCTCATTCAATGATTTGTTCAAAGAGAAGCAGGGAAAGACTGATTACCGTATATGTGGTGGCTAGAAATGATGGAACTTTGCGACCGGTGCCACTCGGGTGCATAGATCAAAGCTGGGCCTACTACTTGGTCGCTGCTCGTATATGCTGCATACTTTTACACCACATGTAAACATCCCAGCATGCTAACTGTTTTAACGAGGGCCTTTTAGCTATGAGAGAAATGTGAGTGAACAGGTGGCGACCAAATAGTAGCCCTAGCTTTGATCTGCACACACTAGTGGCACCAATGGGCCTTTTTCACATACCGACAGCACCAGGTGGTGGCTGCACAAACTAAAAATCGAGGAAGTGACCTACCTATGCTACCAATCGATAATGGGAGCTACGCTACCAGTTTCTTCGCTCTCTGAACTGTGGCGTGTGCCCAATGCGACTTTAAAGAAGGGCATCCGTGGCGTCCACCTAAACGTCGTGTTTTTCTTTCCATCCGCTTTCTTTTTTTGTGTGACACAATTATATATATGCTGCAATTACCTGTTCTACTCGCTGATCCACAGCCTCCTTCTGAATTTCCTAGATCTTTGGTGCCGACTTCCGCCGCTTGGCGTCGGGCGCTCGCGCGTGTACAGAACGCTTCTCGGAAAAAGTCTATTGCACAGTCGCATCGTTTCCAGCCACCACATCTGCAGTCATCAGTCTCTTGCCGCTTCTCTCTTAACAGAGTATGTGACGTTATGAGATCCACGAAGCCAATGCAGCTGGAAATAAAGGGGGAAAAACTCATCCGCTGAGCAAGAGACCTGCTGTGGTTTGCTCAGCTTTCAGTGTCGTCGCCACCACTGCGCCGAAGGCCCGTCTTGGAACCTCCAGTGGAGGCGCGTAAAGGGTAGTAGCCACCCTGTGGTTGCACTGACGTAATCTTCGAAGTATTCTCTCTCCCATTCAACAAAGTTTGAATCCCAGCTCACAGAATCAGTGGATGTGCTCAGCATAGCATAAAGCCTTAGTTTGTTTCTCACTAATATGCATATTGCTTCTGGTTTGCGCAATATTTTGAAGTAGGTCATGTTTTATTGCTAACATTACTGTGTTGTTGTGCAGCTGTGGAAGCTACCTGGGACCTGGACGCTTCCCCAAAGCCTGCTTCCAGGGATCTAACCCTTCTGGGTTCCTTGGATGAGCTGAGGGAACTCGCTGGAAACCGCAACGTTGGGCTACCGCTGGAGGAGGTGCTTCGGCACCTACAGGAGAGCCAAAGTAGAAAAGACATTGAGGACATAGAGAGGGCAACGCGGGATCAGGCAAAATCCAGCCTCTGGATGCGCCACAGAGTGGGTATGATAACTGCGTCCGTCGCATACAGCGTATATTCGCGAGTGAAAACACTCAGAACGAGGATGGGTCCGCATGACCCGAGACCCCTGTTAAGAAAGATCCTAAGGCAAACGAATGTCCGAACGGCTGCAATGCGTCGGGGCAGTGATCTAGAAGGCCCTGGGAAGAAGTGCTATGAGGAGAAGCACTCTCAGCATGAGGACTTGGTTGTGAGAGGGTGCGGGTTGTTTGTCATGGAGGGACGGCCCTACATTGGTGCAAGTCCAGATGGACTGGTAGAGTGCAAGTGTTGTGCCAACCGAGTGCTCGAAGTAAAATGCCCAGAGATAATGAAAAAGTTTTTGCAAGAGAACGTAGAGAAGAGCACGGACAACACTCCTTTAAAGCTGAAGCGCACAAGCCCACACTTTTGCCAAGTGCAGGTGCAGATGGGGCTGACAGGAGTAAAGCATGGAGACCTGTTTGTCTACATCAGTGACGAAGAGTATGAATGCATCTCTGTAGACTTTGATGAAGAATTCTTCAGGGATGTAGTTGAGAGGTCCACATATTTTTTTGAGAAGTATGTGCTGCCAAGATGGTTTGCGTGGTCTAAGGGGAATTTTCTCACTTTAACTCATTCCTTAGAATTAATACAATGATTTTATTTTTTCATTTGTTAAATACTGTAAACGACGTAATTGTCGCGAATCTCCTACAATTTGCAAAAAATAGGCCCCACGAATAATTCCGGTAAAATGTAAACACAGTGAAATCTATCGAGATCCCACCGTGTTGCAAAAATTAGAACCCGCGAATTATTCCAAAACTTCAGCTTTGACCTAAATTGCGAAATATTGAGCCCGCAAGAAATCGGTCGTTTACAGTACTTATCAGGATTAATTGTTAATGTTTGTGACCTAAAAACACGATGTGGATTTTTATCATTTTTAAAATATGCCAATATTTAGAGCAAAGCTAAGCCAATTCTTGCAGATACTCTCACATTGAAAAGCCATGGACATCATAATCATATTGTTTATTAAGAAAAGAATGCAGCAACAATTTGGGGACAGGAATTATTCTTGGTAAGATAACATTGCACGGTCTTGTTAAGACATTTTGGAGCAATAAGTTCGTTTAATATGTATAGCTTGAACAAAGTTGAAATTTTTGTTCAGTAGCATTTCAGAACTAATCTTTCTGGTTGTTATTTGTAATCTGTTTCATATTTCCCCTCATTGCCATCTTACAGTGTCATTAAAAACAAACATAAAACAGCAAATGCTTTTTTCCTAATTACAGCAGCCAAAAATGCTACAAATGGAAGTTACAATGATTGAAAAGAAACGCACACATAGCACGCAACGGCTGTGTATCTAAACCTGTGTGGGACTCGTGCATCATCAACAGCTCTACTGGAACAAAAATTTGTTCTCGCTGAATAATGGCTTCGATAAGTTCAATATGCCAGAGATCACAGTGAAGATCTTGTCAATATACGGAAGAAGATCCAGATCAAACCGATGTCGTAGAATTCGAAAGAGCTTCATTCGTTGAATTGCCCTTTCCACGTGTACTCGAGCACTGGCTATCGAGTGATTAGCCCTGGCTTCCTCTGCAGTGAGCTGCTTCTCCATTAGGAACGGAGGCCTTATCATCTTTACATTTTAGAGCGCAGCTCTTAGGGGCCCGTTCCCGGCTTGAGCGGCGTCGCCGTCGGCGTCGCCGTCGCCGTCGCCGTCGGCGTAACCAAGGTCATTCCAAGGTCACGTGACCCCCCAAGGTCACGTGACCCCTCCCAAGGTCATCTCAAGGTCACGTGACCCCACGTGACCCCCTGAAGGTCACGTGACCCCATCGAGGTCACGTGAACCCTTCCAAGGTCATCTCAAGGTCACGTGACCCCAACATGACCCCACGTGACCCTTTGAAGGTCACGAGACCCCCAAGTCACGTGACCCCTCTGAGGTCACGTGACCCCCGAGGTCACGTGGTCGCCTCCCCAAGGTCACGTGACCCCCAAGGTCACGCGACCCCTTCCAAGGTCATCTCAAGGTCACGTGACCCCCAGGTCACGTGACCCCTCTGAGGTCACGTGACCCCCAAGGTCACGTGACCCCTCCAGGTCACGTGACCCCCAAGGTCACGTGGGGGTCACCTTTGGGGTCACGTGGCCTTGAGGTCACCCCCAGGTCACGCCTCCCCGAGGTCACGTGACCCCCTCCCCGAAGTCACGTGACACCCCCCCCGGAGCATATTAAAGAATGAGGGGAGGAGGAGGAGAAGGGGGAGGGGTCTACCCTCCCCTCAGTACCCTTCACTCCTCCTCCTCAAGAGCTGCGCTCCAATTCGGCGTTACAGGGATTTGTAAACGGCTTCCACATTTTTTTCCCGGCACAGCTCATTAATTAGAAATCCTTTGTCAACCATGACACTGTCAATGTGTGGAATGCATTTGTCAAGGATCTGCGACTCCTTTGTTATGAACGTGTCAGATGCTTTTCCGCCATACGCTGGGCTAACATAACTAATTAAGCCACCCGGCGTTTCACTCACCAGGACCTTGGCCGTGTACGTCCGTTTGTAATGACTGTATGTCAGTAACCTTGACACAAGGTCTTTGGGCCGCTCAATTTCAATTTCTGTACAGTCGAGTACCATCCTAGTTTCTTTGTACTGCCAGAAATATGTGGTGAGACAACTTACCACAGCTTCTTTCTCGGGCCAGAAAACGGCATGCTCTAGGATGCTTGCAAGAACTACTACGGATTCTTTATACATGTTGGAGGCTGTGGTCCGGTGAATACCAAATAGCACTCCCAACAGGGAAAACGTAATGTTATGGTAAAGCTTCATGAATGTGAGCAGCACAACATCGTCGTCACCTAAGCAGAAGCTACGGGATGACCGAAGAGTGCGGGCTTCTGTGTATAGTTCCGTAATATTGTAGAACAACTCAAATGAGCAAATTCCAGAGAGCACGAGCAACCCGTTTTCATCCACTACTTTGGAGATTGTGATCAGTTGGTTATCACGGAAGGGACTACTGGTGGTGTCAACTTGCACCCCGGTTTCCTGTCGGAACTTGTCAAGCTCCGCATTGACCACTGCAAACAAAAGAAAACGAATTCCGAGTGTAAATCTCAATTCAATCATTCATACAAATGAAAATAAATCATTCCAATGATATACTTCCTACCTTCACGAGTTGGGACGTGGTTGTCGAGACCCATGTCGGGGATCGGCGAGGCGTTGGCATTTGTTGCAGTCGAGACTTCAACTGGTTCAGGCGTGGGTAGCATCCGAATCACTGATAGCGGAAAAGAAATTGTGACATCCGCAGTTGCATGCCAGTAGATTTACATCACTCAAGCAATGCTATGATAGGCTCAAGCAAAGTTAGAAGTTGCGTGTTTTAACTTTTTTTATGGTATCCCCACTTTCTAAACATATACACGTTAGAAAAGCTGTTTTTTGAGCAGCACACTAAACAGATTTCTCAGCTACAAATAGAGAACCACAGGTAACTTATCCCATGTACAGCTGCAAGCAAACAATGGAAACAAGATATCCTAATTACTTTAAGGATACTAATTACTTCAAGGTTCAACCCAACTTCTTTCCCCTTTGTGCCAAGTCCTTTGAGTTCTTCTGCATTTGTGTAAAGAGTGTTTCCACTTTCTTTTTGGTTCGTGGGGGCAGCGAAACACTATATAAATACAAACTTCTGTGGAATAAAAATCAGCTGTGTTTGAGACTGTGTTGTGTTGTCCTTCGTCTTTTCCCTTGTCTCGGGGGTGTTGTCTTAAATTATGTTAAACCTTCCCCAGCTCGTTTGCACCCCAACTTTTTGTTTACTTCGTTGTGTCTCTACCTGCTCATTATATCTGTCTACACTGCTTACAGTTGACTTTTGCTGGATTTAGATAGTGCTTCACTGGAATTCTTTAGTAATATTGGGGGCTCATTAATATCGGCCCTTGCCTGATGCACAACAAAACCAATGTGAGGTAGCGTGTTAGGCACATTACTTTTTTTCTCGAAGATTTAATCTTTATGGGCAATAAAACATTGATTTTAAGAGAAAAACAAAGTGGCAAAGCCTAAGCAGAAAAATTTCGTACGTAAACTGTCACCCTCCATGGGTTCCACGCCTTGTGCTGCTACTCCCGAGACATCTTCCACTAGACAGCTGTCACCGTTCTCCGTGCTTTCCTGTGTTATCAGGGGATCCAACTGTATGGAGATGGAAGGCTGTGGAAGCTGGTGAGGATGTGCAGCATTGTGTCTTTCACCTGAAAAGAACAATTTCATTGTGCACTGGCTTAATAAACAAGAATGGAAAAAGGGCAGTGCAGTCAAGCAAAATGTTCACTAAGTATCTGGAGTGAAATTGCTCTGTACCTACACAGAACTCGTAGGAATTCGACTGTTTTCTGGTTGCCATAAAATTGTTTTTTTTTTTTTTAGAAAAAGTTTGTTTATGTCTACTAACTGGGTCACAGTTCATTCGTGATGTAGCTGCATTTGCGTAGACTTCCTCTGTCACGTAGGTCTTTGGGCATCTGCGAGCGAGCGAGTGCTTGCCGAGCGGCGCGCGGGAGTCAGTAGCGCGAGCTGACTCGCCGCTGGCCTAAAGGCGGTAGACGTAAATGCTATCTGGAATGCCAGTGAGACAGGGATCTAATATTTTTACGCTATTTTTTGTAACTAGGGACAGAGTTCGAAACACTTACGCCGCCGTTTCTCCGGCCCCTCACACGATCGCATTCTGTCGTGGGGACGCACGGGGAGGTTCGCCGATGGAATCGCCTCCGCCGATAATTTCCGGCACTTGTAACCTGTTTATAAGAGACAAATAAACAAATACGTTCATGCTGTGTACGGAGACGTGTCGGTATCGATCTTACCTAGTACCTTATACACGGGGTAGACGAAATCCTCCTCTTGGAAGTGTTTGCTGCACACAAGGGCATACTTCGGCGCTGGCTTTCCCATTCTTAACTTAATCAGCCACGCTTTCTTCAATCTCGACGGCTTCGGGTACAGGTGAAAGCTGATACCTGGTTCTTTTTTGGATTTGCATTGTGGCACCGAACAGAATGCCACCATAGCTGAGACCGTGCGAGCGTGGACCAAACCGTAGACAGGTACGACTCGGGACGCCTCTGTCGCCGCGTTCCTTTGCTTACGTCACAATACACTTCATCCAATCAGGGCGCGGCGACCGCAGCGCCGCTCGGGCTCGTTCACGGGGCTAATAGACCGTTCCATTAGGGTCATAGCAGAGAGGGTAAAAAAGAAAAAAATGCACTCCCCCTCTCACCCCGATGTCGTCCGCTCCGCCGAGTGGGCTGTAGCTAGCGTCCGGCTGGCGTGCAAACTCTGTTTAAAATCGAGTTATTTTGGAACTTTCAAGCGCATATGCGCAGATTTTGGTATGCCAGTTGTCGTGTAATATTATGCTAGATAAAAAGACTCACAGGGTCCACTTGCGCTATTACCTGCGTGCAAATAAAAAAAAATAGGGAAAACTGTGTCAGATGGGCCAGTCTCTTTGGCGAAAAGTAAATCCGGTTGCTGTACCTTTTTTACTATACAAAGTTCGTACTGGTGTAGGCCTTTAGCGACCATGAGTGGAAGTCTGAAATAATAAATAAAACGTGCTCTCCTGCCGCAATCCACGCAGTAGTTGAGGTTAGTACTGCCGGCTGACTCAATGCTATTTAAGTAACGGAAAAAATATACGCTAGTTGATCATTTAGCAAAATAGAACAACAGAGAGCTAGAGGCTGATTTTCGAGTAGCCACAATTATTCTAAGAACGTGAACCACTTAACCACTTCACAACGGCAGCCACGAGCGAGAGTTCGATGTTCGGTAGAGCCCGCCGATACAGCCCATAGATGGAGAACGGCAACCTCCCGGTTTGTCGTCTGCTAGCGGAGTCGGGCGCGTGCCCTCTCTCTCGTTTTACCCCGCCGAACCCGCTGAACTTCCCGGATGTGTGGAGAGGACGCTGCGGTCGAACAAAATGGTGCCGCCCAGAGAGCGCTAAATGGAATGGTCTCTAGCGACAGCGAGCGCCTCGTCATCATGGAGGAGGAGTCACCTGCGGCGGAGGACTCTTCCCTTTTTTTTTTCTTTGAAAGCCCCAAATACCTCAATGGAGCCAATAACGGCCGGCACCAAGCACATTACCAACAGCTCGGATCCCTCGGGACCTTCGGATATCATGGACCCCTTGGACGACTGGACCCGACAAAGACACGCCGGAGTTAGGCCCAAGACGGCAAGCGCGTCATCTCAAGTGACTGCTCTCGTTCCCCTCAAAGCCCAGACAAAGCGGGTCGTTGTCCCAAGAAGCCGCGACCGAGCTCACGCGACACCTCTTTCAGCTCGGCCGAGGACATTTAGTGAGTAGATGGTAGAAAGCACTATTTCATTTTGTTTAAGTTTTTGATTTATTTCATTTAACGCTCGTAGATTTAGCGGCTGGGCGAAGCAGACAGAAAATTGCACTTGGCCAGACAAGCAACTGGCGATACCCTCTGCCTCCAGGGAAAACCATTTTCCACCCGGCGTGAGACTGCAGAGTTAGAGGCTACTTTTCCTGTGACGTCTTTTTAATGCAACATTATTAACTGTCCCATGGAACGAGCCGTCGTCATCAGCCGCGGTAAACGAAAGATAAATTCCCGAAGCCGCGATCTGAGGCATCCCAGCTTTGAAAGCACTCGGAAAGCCACGAAAAACGGCAGTGATATGAAGCCGCCGCGCGTCAGTTTCAATTGGCGCCACCCGATCGAGCTGCGTGTCCGCGAGGCAGCGGCTCCACCGCTCCTTGCCCAGGGTCAGCACGGCGAGGAGAGCGTGCGCTCTCGACCGTCAGCGCAAGTACGCCGCAGACGAAATAAGGGAGCCGAGGAACCATGCATGCTTTCGCATTCACAACTCATAAGGTGTGCTTAGGCGTACCTCGAGCCTTCTACACCGGAGCTGTTAAGGGCTAGTTTCCCCAGGATCGTGTCCCCCGCAGAGAAATAGACACCGAACTCTGGACACCTGTCGCCATCTATAAGCGACGGCGGCAAGTTACGTACTTGGTTTCCGCCGTCGCTCATAGATGGCGGCAGGCTTTTCACTCTGGCTTGCCGACTTGCGGCCGGCCATTACTTTTCATTATACAGCTCCGCTGGTCTTCCTTCTTCACCAGAGTGGCAAGGCTGAAAGTTTATTTTTTTTCTTTAGCATCCCTGGGTTTGTGCGGCGTAGGTGGAGTAGTTTTAAACCATGAACTGCTGCGTCATGGCTCCTATTTCCTCGACACTCAGGGCGTATAGTATAGGCTTATTAACGTTTATGATCCCGCGAACCGCGCTTTGTCTTATTCTTTTTTAACAACCTAGATGCCCGCCTCCTCGATGCGTGTCCTTGCTTCATCGTGGGGGATTTTAATTGCGTCTTTGACTCAATGACGGGCATGCGGGGCCCGGGAAGGGGACGATCAGTTTGGTACAAAGGCGAACTGCAGAGGCCGGGGCGTTATTTTGAGCTTGAGGATGCGTGGTCTTTCAACTTAAATCATCTCAGCTTATATTTCACCTCGTGCAGGTAAGTAGGTAGGGACTGTGAAAAAAATGCTTCAGCATTGCAGTTTGACGAGTCCATAGACCCTTAATATTGGCGGTTAAACAGCATCTTCCCCCCCCCCCCCATAAAAAAAAGTAATTATAACTATACTTTGATGTTGCACTCACAAAAAAGGAAGAAAGCAAGCAGGCGCTGCGGGAAAATAACCACACGAAAAAACACATTGTGAGTGTGAAAGTTGAGAGCGCGCACATTTAAACAAAAAATTGTAAAAATCATACTCTCAATTTCATACACTGCACGGAGTTCACTGTATTTACAGGTGAATAAATAAAAATACATGAGCTTATATATTGTCACGGGTGGTGACCAAAAATAACAAATAAACAGGAAGAAATAAACGTTTAATGTGGCGAACTTGTGCCAAAAATAAACGAGTACAAAAGATAATAATAGAGCGTCGCGGGCGTCGAAGTCGGCGTGGCAGCAGAGTCGAACGCTGGGGCGAGACTGACTCGACAAGGTAGCGGGCGGCCTCTTATCTAGAGTGTGTCACTATCTCGAAGATTCGGCGAAAGCGGCTCGAGCGTCGCGTGATCAGGGCGAGAATGAACACGCACTTTCTAGAAAACAAAAGCAGGAATAAATTATAGAAGTTACGTGCGGTCCATGAATAGACGAGAACTTTCTGGGGGTCCGTGACCGAGCGTTGCTTTCTCAGCCCTGCGCGCGGCATTACCCCCCCCCCCCCCCCCCCCCCTTTAAAAGTGCATCGTCCCGATGCAGCACAAAAACGGAAAACAAAAAAACAAAAGGACAGCAGAATTGCTAGCCGGAGTTCACAGTCCACAGTTCACTCGTCGACGAGAGTGGAGAGTCCTATCGTTCGTAATACGGCTTCAGCCGGACGACATGCACCACCTCGGGTCGCGGCCGACGTCTTGCAGATGGGCGCGTTCCGTCGGGTAGAACTTCGTAGCTCAGATCGCCGAGGCGTCGGGTGATCTTGTAGGGCCCAAAGTAGCGCTTCAGCAATTTCTCACTGAGGCCGCGGCGACGGATGGGCGTCCATACCCACACCCTATCTCCGGGCTGGAAGTGGACGTCCCTGCGACGAAGGTTGTAGCGACCGGCGTCGACGCGTTGCTGGTCTTGAATCAGGAGTCGGGCGAGCTGGCGAACTTCTTCGGCGCGTTGAGCAACCGCCTGGGCGTCGTCGCTCTCGTTGTCAGATGGCTCATGGGGCAGCATGGCGTCCAGCATGGTCGTTACCTTCCGACCATGTACCAGCTGGAAAGGGGTGAATCCAGTGGTCTCTTGAACCGCCGTATTGTAGGCGAACGTGACGTAGGGCAGCACCTCGTCCCACGTCTTGTGCTCTACGTCGACGTACATAGAGATCATATCGGCGATTGTCTTGTTGAGTCGCTCCGTCAGCAAGTTGGTCTGCGGGTGGTACGCAGTTGTACGACGATGGCTGGTATGACTGAGTCGGAGGATTTCTTGGGTCAGTTGTGCCATGAACGATGATCCGCGATCTGTAATCAGAACTTCTGGAGCGCCGTGCCGGAGGACGATGGACTCAATGAAAAACTTGGCAACTTCCACAGCAGTCCCCGAAGGAAGAGCTTTCGTTTCGGCGTACCGTGTGAGATAATCTGTGGCGACGATGATCCAGCGGTTCCCCGACGTCGAAGGCGGAAAAGGACCAAGTAGATCCATTCCGATCTGCTGGAAGGGTGCAGTTGGAGGAGAAATAGGCTGCAGGAGTCCGGCCGGCCTCGTCGGAGGTTTCTTGCGTCGCTGGCACTCGTGGCATGATCGTGTGTACAGGTGGACGGTTTTGGGGAGCTTGGGCCAGTAATACTTTTCACGAATACGGGCCAGTGTCCGGCTGTATCCAAGGTGTCCGGATGTCGGGTCGTCGTGACATGCTTGAAAGATGTCCCCTCGAAGGTCGGTCGGGATTACCAGCAGCCACGGCGAGTTGTTGTCCCCGAAGTTCTCTTTGTAGAGTACACCTTGTCGAATGGCGAAGGTCGACATGGCTCGTGAGAAAACACGGGGTACGGTACCGCCGCGCCCTTCTAGGTGCTCGATTAAGACTCGCAGCTCCGGATCGTCTCGTTGACGTCGTGCCATGTCATCGGTGTTCACTGCCCCTAGAAAGCCCTCGTCATCATCGTCGTCGCTGCTGCCGGAAGGTGTTTCGACAGGGGCCCTGGACAGGCAGTCAGCGTCGCTGTGCTTGCGTCCTGACTTGTAAACCACAGTCATGTTGAACTCTTGTAGCCGGAGGCTCCATCGAGCGAGGCGTCCTGACGGGTCCTTGAGGTTCGCAAGCCAGCAGAGCGAGTGGTGGTCTGTGACTACGCGGAACGGGCTTCCGTACAAGTACGGACGAAACTTCGTGATTGCCCAGACGACCGCAAGGCATTCTTTC